CCTACAGACAGAAGCCATGTGTAGGGCAACCATGAGACAGTATTTCCCCGCCCCAGCCCTCCAGAAAGTATTCTTCATATAGCAAGCTTTCAGGGTAAAACATGTGCAACTGGTCTTAGACTTTTTTGTGAAAGTGACCACTGGGGAGGTTAAATAAGCATCTTTAGGTGGGGGTTGTCTATGCTACCGACGTTGTTTCTCTATGAGGGGTTATCTATGCTACTGGCTTTATTTCTTTATGAGGGATTATCTATGCTATGGAAACACCCTGGAATGCAGGAGTCACATCTGTCATTGCGATGGTTTCACTTCAAGGTGAGTCACTCTTAACATGCAACAGGCTGTTTTCCTGCACTCCTTGACTTGCAGATGGCCACCTTCTTGCTGTGTCTGCACATGTTATTTCCTCTGTGCACGCCCATCCTAGTATCTATCGGTGTGTTCTAATGTTCTCTTCTTGTAAGAACACCAGTTACATTGGTTTAGGAACCACCTCCCAAAGGCCTCATTTAAATTAACTATCCTCTTAAATTCCTTATCTCCAAATGCAGTCACATTCTGAGGTTCTGGAGGATCAGAGCTTAAACATATGAATTTTGGAAAAGCACAAATCAGCCTGAAATAGAGGCTATAAAGACAAGCTTCATAAGAGCTTCAAGGACCCAAGCAATGGTATAAGGCATCCATAAATGGTATTTACATCCCTGTAACTACAGTTTGACTACTTTCTGGGTGAAGAAAAAAATAGGTAAAATTAACCAGTATCCTGATCTAATTCCAACGGTTTATCTGGCACCTACCGATGGAGTTGGGCATTCCACAAACAGAAGCTATATAAAAAAAGTATTGAGGAAAAAAAATGTATTTTTTGATGGTTTTATAAAAAATGTATTTTTTGTGGTTTTATACCTCCCATTATCTTTGCTGACTGAAGGAATTTCAAAAATGCATGGAAGCTGCAAAATTGCAAGCACTATACATCAGATCATTCAGCTTAGGTAAAATATCAATGCTTGCCATAAAGGTAGGCCTACCATCCTCAAAAGCCCAAAAAGAGAAAGTAGAATTCTGGAAAAGTAGAGATACGTTTTCTGTGAGAAAAAAAATAGATTCCTCTCCCACTTCTGAGTGACCTGTTCAATTATATCTTTCTAGGTCAAGCAGTTAACAGAACCAAGCACCCAGTTATGCCATCCTTTCTAATCTTGTTTTCTCATCTTTTTGTACCTCAAAGTCCCATCCCTACTTACTTTCGTGAAGCCGTATATCCATAATTCTCTCTACTTTCTTTCTTCTAGTCTTCACTGCCCTCTTTATTGTCTACCCTACCCCAACCTTAAGGCTCCCCCACTTACTCAATCTGTGACTCGGAAAAGATCCAGCTTGTGGGTCTAGGACTCAGAAGCATATCATATGTCCCTCCACCAATACGCTAATATAAGACGAGGGAAGGATAATTCAAGGTCTAGAAGTTTTGGAGGGTTTTTTGGCATTTGGATATCCACTCACTCCAGTACCATTTGTTCAAAAGACTGTTTTTCTTCCTTGAAATGCTTTGTGCCTTTGTCAAAAATCAATTGACCATATTTGTGTTGGCCTTTTTCTGTACTCTCTATGTTGTTCCATTGATATTTGTGTCTATTCTACCAATTTACACAAAAATCTATACACAGATGTTTAAAGAAGCTCTCTTCATATCACCCAAACTGGAAATAGCTTTAATGTTCTTTATGTTGGTGAATGAATAAATAAACTATGGAATATTCATAAAATGCACTATTACTCAGCAATAAAAAGGAATAAACGATTGATACATGCAACAACTTGGATGAATTTCAAAGGCATTATGCTAAGTAAAAGATGCCAGTCTCAGAAGGTTACATACTAACCAATAATATTTGTATGATATTTTGATTTTTTTTAAGTTAGAGTCTCACTCTGTTGTTCAGGCTGGAGTACGGTGGCACAATCACAGTTCACCACAGCTTTGAGCCCCCTGGGCTCAGAAGATCCTCCCACCTCTGCCTCCCAAGTAGCTGGGACTACAGGCTTGTACCACCACACTCAGGTAATTTTTTTTTATTTTTTTATTTTGTAGAGATGAAGTCTTGCTATGTTGCCTAGACTGGTCTTGAACTTCTGGACTCAAGCAATCCTCTTGCCTTGGTCTCCCAAAGTGCTAGGATTACAGACGTGAGCCCCGGCGCCCAATCAATTTGTATGATATTTTGAAAAACATAACTGTGGTGAAGAGCAAATTGTTGGCTGCCAGGTGTTAGGGCTTAGGGAAAGAAATGACTATAAAGGGATAGCACAGGAAATGTTGGGGTTAAGGAAATCGGTGTTCTGATTTTGGTGGTGGTTACACAAATCTATACATGTGTTGAAATTCATATAATTGTGTATCTGAAGGTCAATTTTACTATATAGTTATTTTTTAAATTTTTAAAAAGATAAACTTTGAAGGCAAGGCATAAAAGCACACACTCTGAGAAGCAACAGACCTGGGTTTCTTTATTCCATTCTTGATTTCATGCCTAGGTATGTCTCTTTTTAAGATGCAGGTTTTGGAATCAGATCACAAGAGGCCCTTCCTTCCTACCCTGATGTTCTTTAATTCCACAGATCTATGGACATGATCACATATATATCTACTTGTGTATATACACTCATCTTCCCATGCATACAGACTCTTCCCTGTGCTACAACAACCCAAGCTCCCCTTATTCCAGAACACTCCCCTTAATAAATATTTGGCTGTGTTTGTGGGAGGGGAATGAGATGTAAGGAAGAAAAGCTGTCAAACATGCTAGCCTGAAGCATAACCCATCCCTCCACCTTCATTAATCATGTTCCAATAAAACCAAGGGAATTCCTGACCTCACTCTTACATTCTTTCATTGCTTCCCAGATCTCACCTCCACATCAGCCTCTCCCAATTACAGGCTCTGAACCAAGCCCAGGAAGCCCAATGAGTCCCAGAGAGGGCTAACTACCTGCTTTGATTCTCAGAGGCAGTTGAGAGTTGGTCTGCAGAGATGGGTTTACCAGTCCACGAGAATGCAGAACTTCTGAAGCTTGTTTGGCTTGAAGAATCTTTTGAAAGGTAATACTCTCCTTCTTAGAAAAATCACTGCATGTGGTCATCTCTGCCCATTTTCACGTTAGCACCTCAATTCTAAGATTAATCTGCCCAAGTTCTTCTCCTAGAAAGGGTGAGCACTCCTTCATTTGTAGGGTAACAATAGTCTCCCCAAAGAACAGAGATGTCTTATTTACCCACAGACGACTAAGGTACTGTTCTCCTTGACATGCCTGGTTCTCTCCAGGTCAAGGCTCAGTCTTTCCTTTCCTTACTCAGTCTTTCCTTTCCCTATGCCCTTCTGTTCAGGGCATTTTCCCTCCCCACAGCCTCCCTGGCTTTGCAGGGCTGCACCTGGACCATTCATCTTCACTTACTATTTTATTACTCAGATGGGGACTCCCAGGAGACCTGCAACAGGGAAGGCAAAGGAAGTCAGAAACCAGAGCTGGTGAATGTGCAGATAAAAATGCAACAACACTCCAAGTGAGTGTTCTCAAAAGCTCCACTATAAGTGTTCTCTCAGGACTAGCAGGAGGGAAAATGAGAAGCTTTGGGAAAAAGGGACAGATAAACTTAAGAAAAAAATTGATCAAAGACATGTATTTAGAAACTGAAGTTTCCTTTTTTTTTTTTTTTTCCTCCTCCATTCTTACTTCTAGTAAGGAATGAGATTCCCATTGCCACAGAAATGTGGGGATAGCTCTTCTCACATGCAGGCCTTCCTCCTCATGCTGAGCCTTCAGGGCTAAGGATTGATTGACTCTACATTAGAAAATCACAGTCACTCCCAACATCTATAAATGTAATATATAAAGACAATAACCCACTGGTCACCCTTGTTGGAAGTAGAGCCTTTCTCTAGCTTCATGACCTTGTCTAGGGCCAGATGATACCGTAAATGGGGGATTCAACGTAATGATTAAGTGATGACAGAGTCTGAGTCTAGTCTTTCAATGGCTCTCAGAAAGGATTGCCAAGATTTGAACCGACTCACAGGCCAAGAACACCAGGAACCTGTGAGACCATGCACAAGCAAGTTCAGGGAGAGAGTCACCACTCCACAACACTTAGCGAAGAGGGGAATTTTCTTCCTGAGTTAGACCCTAACAGCAGAAAGAACAATGACTGGGGAGTCAGGAAACATGGGTCTAGTCCAGCTGTGCCACTAGCTGGCAGCAGGCCATGTACAAGTCACTTAAAAGGCAGTGTTACATTAGATCAGGGATGACAAACATGTGACACACACACCCTTACCTCTCCAGTGCCTTGAATAGAGGTTATTATCCAACCACATCACTGTTTAGAACATTTTTTTCTACAGCATTCTGGGCAGACACTTCTGATTAGAACTGGTACAAACTGAAATCTACTTGCTCTCCCTCAACTCCATGATCTCAAAAGTCACTAATAGCTCTAAAGTATAAGATCCTGACTTTCCAAGTAAGAGGTGTCCATTTTTTTGACTTTTCCAAATAACTCACTGAAAAAGAAAAATGGAAATTTAGGTTCATAATCTCAGACTCCTCCTTCTCACTTTGAGGCTAAGCAGGGTCTTTCTGAGGTCACACTCACCTTCCTTCTGTGCCAGAGAATTATAGTATTTGAGCTGTGCCCTCTGTCAGTTCACCCCAAGCTGTTGTTCCCTTTTGTCTAAAACAGCCCACACTTAACAGTTTTATATTTTACTTCAAGGACTCTACAAGCAAAGGAATTTTCTCAAGCCAGTAAAATCTAAGAGTCAGAAGAGAAGGCAATAGCCTCTACTGAAGGTATGAGAGGGTGTAGGTCATGCCTACATTTGTCATGTAACACTGCCTTTCAATTACTCCACTCACCAGTCACCAAAGCTAATCAGATTTACAGTTCTTATCCCTTGCTGGAAAGCAATGACAAAAACAGTACTCAGACAGAACAGTTTCAGGAACCAGGTGTTTGCAACTGTGTTTTATTGAAAGAAGCAGTGGAAGGGTTAACATGGGGCCCACCTCACAAATCATCCCTGAAACCACACAGGGGTAAGACTCAGGAGAGGAAAGCATGTGTGTTGAGTAGGAACCCTAACTGAAGTAATTTCTTTCAAGCAAAGAAATAAGAGGGTAGAGGCAGGTGGTTAAATGATGAGGGGCCGAGGTGGGGCGGGAGCTCTCGCTTCTCTGACCTTAGGTGGAATCCTCCACAGAAGCATCAAAGTGAACTGGCACATATGGGTTCCCCTCACAGGCCACAATGATGTGTCTCTCCTTCCGGGTGGTCCGGTAGGCACAGTTGGGGTACTTGGAGCTGCCTGTCAGACGGCAGTCTGTGATGTGCATGCTGGAGCTGCTCCTGTAGCAGTTGGTCTGCCCGTTCTTGCAGTTGACATTTCCCTGGAAGCAGACGGCCTGGACGTCCTCCAGGGGCTCGTGCACAAAGGTGTTCACCGGCTTGCACCGTCCCTGTGTCAAATTCCGGCGTCTCATCATTTCGTTGCAGTAGGTAGTGTTGCTGCTGGGGGAACTGCCGGAGTCCATGTGCTGCCGCTGGAACTTCATGGCCCGGGATTCCTTGCCCAGGGAGGGCTGAATCCAGTCCAGCAGCAGCAGTACCAGGACAAGCAGCGGGAGCAGGACAAGGGACTTCTCCAGAAACATGGTGGCCTCACTTTTCTGGGAAAGCCTATTTGGGAAAGGGAGAAAGAAGGAAAAGCATCCCCTGAGAAAGAACACCTGCCCCCACCCGTGGCTTCCTGGCTTACAGTCTCCCATTCAGGTCGGCCACAAAGATGTCTCTCTCCCTGAAAACTTTCAGGTAATGAAACACTCACCTGTGCCTTTCTCCAAGAGTATTTTATTCCCACTCAGGAAAGAGAGGTCTTCCTCCTCTCTCGGTGGTGACGTGCAAAGTGACCTAAAATCCTGACCGTCACTGGGATTTCTTTGCTCTAGAATACATTTGTACCCAGTGCTAAAATGGCTCATCAAAAGATCATTTTGAATAAACCATGAGCCAAATCGTATCCCTGACATCTAGGACCATGGTTGACAGAGCCCTGTTGTCTTACAGCATTAGGGAAACTTGGGCCAGTGCCTGACACTGGCCTCATAAAGGATTCTTTTGTATTTCAAAAAGAAATGCTGGCCTCCCCCAACTTGGGGGCCCCTCTTCTCCAGTCCCATGGATTATCTGCAGCCCGTGTGTTCCATCTCTGGCCCCTCTGCCCGCAGCTGATGTTTTCCTGGTCCAAATTTTTTTCGACTCTAGTATCAGTCCAAGCTTTCTCAGCACTGTGGACTCCTCTGGCTCCCTCCTCTCTGACCCTCAAGAAGAAACAGCTCCTGAGACCACCTTTTGAGCTATTTACCTGGGTCTCCAGCTTGGTGTCCAAGAGAGACAGAAGGTCAGCTTCTGCAATCACTCAGTTCCTGGGGTGTGTACCTTATATAGTTTGTGAAGGGGGTTGACTTCCAAGAGAAAAAGGGTGGGAGGAGCATCTGGGGCTCAGTTCAAATAAAAACGAGGACACTGTGAGGAAGGATTGGGAAATCACCCAGGTCACCCCCTGGAATTCCTGCTGGCGAAAGAGTGGATCTTTGCCTCTACAATTCTTTCTTACCATGTGAACCATATCTGCCTGCTGATTCACAAGGAGTCACAGAGAAAGCCACCTCAGCGCTCCAAACCTGGTACACCTGGAAGTCCTTATTACTTCTTTGTGAGGCCATTTTCACCAAGTAGACTTGGAGTTAACAAAGAGCACATACAGTGAGTCCTGAAATAGCTTTGTCCTGAGTTCTAGTTCTCCTAACAATATCTCTCTTGGAGGTACAAGAGTGGGGGAATGGGGATTACCCTGCTGCCCCTAGCTGAAAACTTTTCGAGATGTGGAGGAAAAAAGGAGGAGAAAACCTGAACAGGGAGGAAGAGAAGGAGGCCTCTTGGATAAGCCCACCCTCTACTCTCACCCTGGGAACACTGCCGGTGTGAGGCAATTCTTATCAAAGGTAACCGCTGATTCCACAAGTCAAAGTTGAATAGAACTAAAGATAAACGAAAGCACTTGGAGAAAAAATACAAAGAATATCATATTTCTTAGCAGCAGAATGCCCTCCTAAAAAAGAAACCTGTTTTTGCTGGGTGACAGTTTTGATACCTCTGGAGTAAGAATTATCAGAACATTCCTCCATGCTCTGGATTCAGACTATTTCAGAGCAAATTATGATTCAGTACTTTAAGAGTTGAGCAAGTTACACAACTTAATTTCCCTATCCCTCAGTTCCCTATTCTCTAAAATGGGAATGATAATGTGTATTTCTTAAATCAGTTGTTGGATTGAAATAAGGTAAGATGTTCAGAGGGCTTAAAGGAGTGATCAGCGTAGAGAAAGCATCAATATGTGTTAATGCTTGTAATAGTTCACGTAGGGTGAGGTTGAAACCCCCCAAGCAGTATGTTCAGGCAACCCTTGGTGATCTTTGAATTGCTTTCTGAAGGGGGTGGAGTCAAGTGGCTGCCAGGCATTTACTTTGCTGAGCTGAAAATAGTAGGAAGTTTTGAAGTCCTGGGGAGGAAAGAAAGGGGAGAGAGATTAGGTAATTCAGTAGAAAACCAAAATTCTTTAAAGAGAAATTTTAAATGTTTTTGCCATGTGGTATCCAAATAAAATCGACATTTCTTGCTAATGTTGCATATGAATTTGGACATGGAAGTGGAGTAAAGAAAAGACATGATATGGGCCGGGCATGGTGGCTCACTCCTATAATCCCAGCACTTTGGGAGGCTGAGGTGAGAGGATTGCCTGAGCCCACGGGTTCGAGACCAGCCTGGGCAACTTGGCAAGATCTCATCTCTACAATAAATTAAAAAATTAGCCGGAGAGTGGTGGCGAATCCCTGTAGTTCCAGCTACTTGGAAGGCTGAGGCGGAAGGATCGCCTGAGCCCTGCAGGTTGAGGCTGTGGTAGCCGTGAGCAAGCCTCTGCACTCCAGCCTGGGCAACAGAGTGAGACTCCATCCAACTCAAAAAAAAAGAAGACATGATATGACTTGAGATTTTAGTTTTATGTTTTCTTAGTTCTGTTGGGGCTCAGAAAACAATACCCCAAAATGAAGGCCTCCGAAGTAGCCTCAGAAGCAAACGTTTTTCTCTGACTTTCTCTTGCCTTCCTGTCTCTGGCCCTTCATTCTTTCCTAAGGCTAGTCAGAAACTTGAATCCCTGTTCCCCAAGGTGGATCATAAATAGCAGAACCCCTCTTATGCAAACCCAGTTATAAAACTGAAAATTACTCTAACTTCCCCATCCTCCTACTCCCACTTTTCTTTGTAAAAACTTGCCAGAATGAAATTTTCTATTTGAAATTATCTTGTTTGTCTGTAGATCATAAGACCCACGTTCCAGAGAGGGTCCTGTCCCCCAAATGAATGCTCAGAAAGGCATGAAGAATCTAGACCCTCAGGCCTTGCTGGATTTCCCCACACATTCTGTTGGCATTAGATTATACTCTCTTTTGGTCCAATCATACCTCCATACTGCTGTCCGTACTGCGGTGAACCTAAGCATAAAAAGAGAGTAGAGTGTCACACTTTATGGGTTCTTTTGACTCGTTACAAAAGAGCACTTCAGAGCGAGTCCCAAATATAGTTTTGATACAGAAAACCACTATTGTCTGTCCCTATGCCACAACCCTTAAAGAAAGACAATGTTTGAGCAGGCCTGCTCATACCTACATTCCTGAGAATTAACAAAAGAAAGCATATTCCCTTATTTCCTATGCATTCCCTGTTGTTATCCTTTACTGCCTGCAGACTGCCCTTACTCAACTGAGAGAAATGAATTCCAATTCACTTCCTTTTTATCAGTGGTCATAGATTTGAAAATACAGCACCCATGTAACCATAAGTCTTCTTGTAATTTCTTTTCCTTTTTTTTTTTTTTTTGAGTCGGAGTCTCACTCTGTTGCCCAGGTTGGAGTGCAGGGGCATGCTCATGGCCACCACAGCCTTGACCTGCTGGGCTCAGGTGATCCTTCTGCCTCAGCCTTCCAAGTAGCTGGAATCACAGGCATGTGCCACCATGCCAGGCTAATTTTTTGATTTATTGTAGAGAAGAGGTCTCACCATATTGCTCTGGCTGGTCTCAAACCCCTGATCTCAGGCAATCCTCTAGCCTTAGCCTCCCAAAGTGCTGGGATTACAGGCTTGAGCCACTACGCCCGGTGCCTTGTAATTTCTATAACTTTTTGTGTGTTATAACTACTTATCAGCAATATGTTGCAGTGAATAATGAATGATTTAGTTTGTAATAGACTCTGTTAACTTCCTTACCCTATGGCAAGCTTGTCCAACTCTTCAGTTTAAGTTTACCAATAACACTGTGAGCTACTTTTTGGTAGCCGGCACCAGGAAATGTGGACCATAAATGTTACTGTTAACAAAATGCAGCTGTAATTTGAGTTCTATACAATGCTCTGTCAGTCACATAGTCAATGTATAGGTACAGCAACCCTAAACTTATAAAAACGGACTGTGGCGAGCACAGACCTGTTTCGGAAAGGCCAAGAGCCAGGTTCTGCTCCCTGGATTTGAATTCAGAAATAAATTTCCTTTTGTCAGTTCCCTGCCTCTCAATTTATTGGCATTGAGAGATAGCAATCAAGCGTTTACTCGGACTGTAACAGTTTAAGACAGAATTTATTATAGAGAAAGGGGCCTGCTTAAGATCTAGCATGGATCCCTTAAGAGAGGGCATGTGCTTGCTTTGTTGTGGTGGTGGTTTTTTTATTTTATTTTTCCTCTTTTAATTTTTATTTAAAATTGTGGGGTACAATTCAGGACTAGGTATACAAATATTCACTGTGCAGTTACCCTTATCGATGAGGTGTGCCCCTCCTTCCCCAGCCAGATATCGACTACTATCAATCTCACCTCCCCATTCCCCACTCCTCTCTCCACAGTTTCCTGCCACTTTCAATACTTTCCTTATAGTAATAAGGTAGTTGTTCAAGGTCCACTTATGAGTGAGAACATGTGATACTCAGATCTTTGTTTCTGTGAGAAATCACTCAGTATTATAAACTCTAATTCCATCCAGGTTGCTGAGAAGTTCATGATCTTGTTCTTCTTTATGGCTGTGTAGTATTCCATTGTGTTCAACCTCACTAGTCATCAAGGAGATACCACCTAACTTCAGTCAGAATGACCATGATCAATAACTCAAAAAATAACAGATGCAGGAGAGGATGTGGTAAAAAGGGAACACTTCTACATTGTTGGTGGAAGTGCAAACTAGTTCAGCCTCTGTGGAAATCAGCGTGGCAATTCCTAAAAGTTCTAAAAATCGACCTTCCATATGACCCCACAATTCCCCTACTGGGAATATACCCAGAAGAACTCAGTTCACTCTATGAAAAAGATACTTGCACATGTATGTTTATCGCAGCATTGTTCACAATAACAAGAACATGGAACCAACCATGCTGCCCATCAAAAGAGGACTGGATAAAAAAAATGTGTTACATATACACAATGGAAATGAATTTTGATTAGCATCTCTCAAACTTCTAAAGTCTTAAGGACCTTCTAAATAATTAAATTTACTACCTAACTAGATCTGCACTTTTCTTAGAACATCAAGTCTGTGTTTGGGGTAATTCCCTATTGTTTCTGTGATCTACTGCACTGGTAGATTCACATTCCAGACTGCAAGAATGTCAGGCCTAGTGTGCCTGGTCCATCAGGTGGAGGTCTTGTACCAATAAGAAAGATATCTAAACACTTACCCTATTTTAATTTTAAACTGTTTACAAAAAACTTACCTATGTCTAACCTGCACTGAATAACCTGCCTCATAAACAATTTTCCCTTTATCTTTGGGTCTTTATTATGAAGCCTCCTGTGTCATGTAAAACTATGATCAAATACATTTGTATGTCTTTTCTCCTATTAATCTGCCTTTTTGCCTGTTGATTTTCAGTGAAACTTCACAGGG